TCCCTCAGCAGCCATTCTCAAAGATTCTTGCAACTAAGTCCGAATCAGACTACCCATTTTTCGTCTGCATTAAAAACATCTTTCATCAAGTGCTTTCTTTGCGAGTGAAGAACCGTTGATTCTTATACATAGGCATGATTAGCGCAGTGAGAATAGTGGAACCGCGTGAAGAGAAATTCGTTTTATATTCTAGAGTCAAGCTCATTGCTAAAAGCCAACCATACGGATGACTCCAAGTGTCGTCACTAGTTCGTTAATGATGGCATCCACCTTTGCATTGAGGGCGTTCCACAGGACTCATCATCGACAAGGGATTAATGTCGTGATCGTAGTCGATCTTTAAGCGCTCCATCACTCATTTCGAAATGTTTGAACTGTGAAAAACTTTGTGGTATTGTGAACGATGTCGCCCTTGAATGTAGCGAAGATGTTATCCGTGGTGGCTAAGTGTAGAGTGTCCTCGCTGGTATTCGCAGTTGGCGAAAAGTTGATTGTTCAATTAGATGCTCTTGAGTTGAGTATTTCTAAGACTAGAAGCCAGTCCAAGTCCATCGGGATACTTCGTGAGTATTCTAATCGCTATATTGATAAAAGGTTTTTCCATGCATACGTGTAGGGATGGGGATGCATTCCTTGAAAGGAATGCAAAACAAGGGTCTCTGTGGTGCAGTGAGTAGGTAACACATGAGCACGCGGAAAGAGTAATCGCCGGTTCGAATCTGGCGTGAGGCCCAAGTTTCGCAATTGTCTCATCATTATAGTGGTTGTATATCACATTATAGCCTGACGTGAAGAAATAAGTAAGCTGTGAATAAAAAGTAAATATTGTGATTCATTAATAGTTGTTGAAAAAAGTGCTAGAAATTTTTGTTGAACTTTTTTCCCTCGAGCTCCGTACTTTCGATTCATGGTGGTTTTCTTCGGTGAACTTGATGGCTTGACACTTTCATCAATCCACCCTGCTGTTTTTTAGTGGTATAGGATGTTTTAACGTCCCTAGAAATGTACTTAGTTTTAAGTTCTAGTGAAGAGAAGACTTGAATTCTTCTTTCATAAGACTTATCAAAGCCTGGTCTTCATGATGATACTGGACCACCAACATTGGCTAGATGTTGAGAGGGTCCATAGCTGATTCTAAGATGTCCCGTCCTTTCCGTCTTCATAATTCTAAAACTATGTGACCTACACCTTGTGCATAACTGTGCATCATGAGCAACCACAACTAAACACTTCTTACAGATTTGAGGTATCCAGAAATCCTTCGGATTAGACCCAAATTATTGAAAAACGTTTTGCAATATTATTATTGCCAAAGTCAAGTGTATGCAGCTAGACTTTCTGGCAACGATCCCTTTCTTGATCTTCGACGAATTCAGTCATGTCGATAGTTCTAGGCATGATCGATTACTCATCTTCTTACCTTACTCTTACCATTTTTTAAGCTGTAGTTTTTTCAATGTGTCCGTTATTTTTAGTCGATTCGAGGTTGGTATAGATGTTCTTATTATTGTTGTTGTCTTCGGTCAATGGGTGACGTTTCGGCGACCTCGCCTTCCTCAGAGCCTTCTCGTTGAACCACCCATGAGTTGTGCAGGAGGGATGAATGTCTTCATTAATTCTTTCTAAAGTGGATTATAAAGCACTTTATTTCATTACTATTGTTTTAAAAATGCAACTTACGGCACTCATTCAAAGCATCTGCTTAAAAAATTACGTCGTACTTGTACTATGGACTCGAACTCAGTCGTTGTAAGATCATTCTAATCACCTTGCCGCTGACCTTGACATCACCTTAGGTTACTGAAGACCTGAGGTGATGCTGATCGTTCAAATGTCAAGTGAACCCTCATTGATGTGACGATTGCCTACCTTATTCGAACCCATTCGTTGTTTTTCGTGTGCTAGGAGATCGCCCCTTTATGATTATCATTGACCTTGTTTGTTAATTCATCACTGGTCTTGTCTAACGCCCGATTTTTCCTTGAATTCGTAAGTTTTTTTATCACTTTCTTCTTCTCTTCTTAATGTTGGGAAGATTTTTTCATGCTTGCAAAACTCAGCGTTGAAAGAGTTTGACTTCGATGAGTTCAGTACACCTCTCTGGAGACAATACAGTATCGTTTCGGTAATTTTTTTTACAATTAAGTTGTAGAATTTTCCTCTCAAGCAGTCTTTCACAGCCAAGGAATGAAAGTTCTCTTTCATCTGCTGCTTGTTCATGAGTCTAATGTTCTCCTATATAATCTCCTCCATAAACGAGAACCTGCTAGAGAAAAGTGTGCTTGTAGATCTTTGCTTGGTATATTCAGTATGTAAAAAATCGAGTTCTAAAAGCTTGTTGACACTTAATACTATCTATCATGTATTCTTTCTTTGATGAGCTTACGCGAGGTTGATAAACGGTTCTATTCGGCCAACGTTTCGACATTTTCGTTTTCATAAGAACAGACCTTATAAGAAGTTCATCGTTCCTCATCCTCTCGATGTGGTGTCTTCTCCTTTCGTTTCGAGTTGTGTCTTCCTCAACGGACCGTCTCTCCAATGAGGTATACTCACTCAGTAATACTACTACTTAATATTATTATTTGTCACCGGTGCTAAGCGCCTATGATGAACAGATTAGCGCAAAAGCTAAACAAAAGCAATCGAAATCGATCCATAACTGCAATTAAAGTTCGATTTTTGGCCAGTTTTTCGAGAAATCTCTTTCGACCTCGAACATTCTTCCTTCACTGATTGAACGGAATCACGACCACTGACAGAGCAATGACATGCGCCGGATGAACTCTGTGAAATCAGCGCCGATCGCCTTATCTAGCCGTCACTAGCTGACCTTCATTATTCTTCCTAGTAACAGCCATGTTCGCCGACAGCTCCTAAAGTAAATTTAGCGTTTTTCCCAATTTGACAGTTTTTCGAACATCGACTTAAATAACTGCGGCTGGTCTTCTCATGTCGGTTTAAATCCTAGTTGGGGTCAAAGCGAAAGAGATTGTAGAGTTGTTTGTAGTTTTATGGTGAATAGAGCAATAAAGATTTAAGATAGGCCTTTAAGCCTTGAAAGTAACCTTGCAAGGTTTCGGACGGCAGTTTTCGCCGATCCTACCGTGAACTACACTTATTTTTCTTTGTTTTCTTCGGTTCTTCTGGTTTGGCTACTACTTAGTTTACTTCTGCTAGTGCTCTCACGTGCACTCTGTTCCCAATTTTTATAGCGAGACACTGACTGAAGGTTTCATGCTTGTCCTACTGTTTCATGCTTTTCATTTAGTGAATAACTCGTAAGTTTCTGGGTTACATTGATACCAGATTATTACCATCCTTACTCAGTCAGTAAAAAAAGCTCGTCTATGGAGAGTTTCATCTCTAAGTAGTTGGTTTTTCATAGTAGAAAACGTGGGTGGATCGTATCCATGCTTTCTCTTCTATCATTTTCTGCGTTTCATTCGTAGCAGTCATACTTTCCAGGATGGTAGGTAAAACATGTCGCTGAAAGAAATATATTGCTGTAAGAATCTTTTCAAAAAAAAGCTATTTTTCTTCAAATCTTTTTGGATAGGACTGCAAGTACAGATCCCTCTATTTGTTTGCTTTCCCTTTAACGGAAGCAAGGTGATAATCATGGTGGTCCATGTCGGTTCAATGGGTGCTTCAGTTACGAAGCTTGAAATGAATTAATGTCCGACTGATTTGTTGTTCACAAGGTTTACAAATAAATTTTACAAGCTTTTCTTAAGTATGGGATATGGAGAAACATATTTGGGAAGCTGCTGTTATTTTATTTTCTTTTTACTTTCCTAATCAAATCGCGGTAGTAGAGAATTTATTTACGAGACTGCTTGAATGATGTGATATCATTTGGCGAATAGTGCTTTTCTTAGCAAAATTTCCCCATTTGGCTGGTTATTTGCTGAATAGACGGGATTTTTTCTCTGGGGTACCTAAGTAGTCATGCCAGCGGCATGCCCAAGTCGTCACCGCAAGTACTTCGCTGACCTCTGTGGGTCGCAGGATGGTTTGTCACTTTGAGGCTGGATTACTTCTATTCTAGATCACAGTAGTTTCTAATATAGGCTAATTCTTAATTAGGCTTTCGGAAGATTTAGATCCTTTTCAGTTTGAGTGAACTTGCCGGAGAGGAACCTTTGTGTACGTCACAATCGACCGCATGAATGTCCATTGGCTAGGGTCAGGCGATAAGCATTGAAATCGTGATATCGCTCAAATTAGTTTAGTAGACCGCATCTTAAAACTACGGTGTATAAATATCTCTTGAAATTTCTATAACGACTTTGCTCTCCTATGAAAATGTGAGTAATATTCATAAATGTTTCGGAAAGTTGCCGTTGGTATAACCTCGTCACCTGTAGCTGTAATTGCCATTATCTTATGTATCTCTGGTAAGTTTGGCAAGTGCCATAGGGAGCTGGTCCCAATAACAATCGTTCATCTGTAACATTCTAACACCCCAGCAGGTCGAAGCGGGCGTGGTTCACCATTAACGTTTTTGGGGTCAACTCCTCGCCGATGAGCTCGAACCAACCTGTTGCGTCATCGTTCAACTACTGTGTGGTGGTTGTTAATGGATGTAATGTTTTAAGAAACGGAGCGTTAGACCCCTATCACCAGCTAGACCTCCGCATACCACATAAGGTCAGGGTCAAGAGCGTTCCAAGTAAAAGATGTCCTTTATCAGGACTTTTCTGATGTCTTGCGGAAAAAAGAATCTATGTTTGTGGTTTTATTTGAGCTTACCTCCTTATCGTTTACGTTACTGCCTTATTCCTCATTAACGTCTTCTAGACAGTACATGCTACGATTTCTATAAAATTCCTTACGGCTTGACTGTGCTGCCATTTCACCTTGTCTTTTCTTTTCATGCTATAGTCTATGGGTTTTCAATGCTGTAGCAGCTAGAAAAGCATACGAAAACTTCGAATTTCTTCTTCTTCGATTTCGTTTTTTCAGCCAACAACTATAGCTGATCATACTGTTTAGATATGGCGTCTTCTCGTGGTGATACGGACGAAAGTTCACGAGATTCGGGTTTTGGTGAAATGGAATGCGAAAATATGCCAGTGGATTTCGCCCAGTCATCATCAGCCAAGAGATCAACGTATCAAGTGAGGAATATTCTGTGTACACAGAAATTAAAACATTTTGAGAGATCAGGTTTTGGGAGGACCAGCCGTCTGTTACATGCAGCAGTACCCTACCCATTCCTGAAACAACCATTTAAATTTGATCCGGTCTGAACACCTTAAACCGATTTGTTGGGCTTTCGGGTGCGTGGGGGCTTTTTTTGCTCCCGTTTTTTGTTGTTTACCGTTGTCCACATTAAGATACCACATGCGGGAAGAGGCCGCACATAATTACTTCTTTAGGCATGTATTAGGTCACCGTAAGTACGATCGCCTGAACCATATTCATATGACGTGGTGTCCCATAGTGTATGTCCCGGAGTTCATTCTAGGGACCTTTTCTGGATGGTCATGAGAAGATTACGGAAATGGCTCTGATTTCAGTTTAAGAGTCTGGATATGGAGATGGACGATTTAGTTATTGAAGAGTCATTAGAAATACAGACAACAAACATGATTTGTACGAAAACCGAAGAACTAGAAGTGAGGGCGGTTCTCAGTAATATGAGATCGTTACGAAGAGGTCTGGCTGATGTAACGAACAGGTGCGAGTTCAATTTTACCATATTGTTGTCTAATTTCCCTAGCATGGAAGCAAAATGATAACAAAAATGGTAAGGTTGTAGACAAGCGGGTCTAGGTGGTCATTCGAATGACTGAAGTATCTTTCCTGTGATTCGATTTTCCTAGTGTTCTTAGTACGGAATGTGAAAAACCTCATGTTCTAGTATGTGGAGGATAATTAAACTTACGAAATGTTAGTTGCTGTAAAAATTTGTCTTAGGGACAGCATCGTAGATGTTGAACGTAGTTCTCTAATGCTGAATTAAGTGGAATAGAACCATAACTCTCTTTCAGAGCCACTTCTTTCAGTGCCCGATGTACTCTTGCCGAATCTCCCAAGTCACGGAAATCGGTGTTTGCGAAACCGTATTTGCGTACATCCAGTCTGTACAACAAGAGGAAACGAGATCATCCTGGCACCGTTTTAGAGTACAAACGACACAGAATCGGTGGAGTCATCGAGGAAGACGAGGTTCTTCTCAGATGTTTCAATTGTTTAGTGACTACATAGAATACTGGATTCCTTATATACTTGATCCTTACAGATTTACCAATGTTTTACCGACTCAATTTCCGAATGATAGTCAGAATACTAAAGAGAATAATAGGAATAGCTGAGCTTTTCCATATGGTGTCACTTTCACCGTCATTTGTTTCTTTCGTGTTTGATTTCAAGTTATTGAAAAGTCTTTTCATATTTCGAACAGACTTTAAGAGAATCAGGCTTTGAAACAGTATCAGTAGTATTATTCACTTGAGACCTCTGTACGCCGTACTTTTGGAAGTAGCTGAACGCGTTTATGTCAAGCATTTTCAGAATGTTCCGACCTGCTCGATGTCGTCGCCGTCGTTACGGCTGCCGCGATCATCGCCGATGCTGCGAGTTCAATCATCGTCAGTCCTAGAAGTCGGCCGTCACCTACCTCAGTTTCATGAAGTGGTCGGTGTATAGGTTGTGTTGCTTCATTCGTATCTATTTTGTGGTTTTTTGACGAAACTTCTAGCAGTTTAACTTCTTTTTTCAGTGTAAAACGAATTTCAGGGACGAATTTTGTATGCGACCAGTCTTTCAGCCTAAATTTCACATACACACCGAAAACCTCCTGTTATTAAAAATGAGCAGATAATTTTTCTATTGTCGTAATAAGAAGAAATCCTACCTCATTTTCTCCGTTAGGTGGACTCAACTCGGAAATTTGAGAAGGGGGCCAAAATTCGAAAAATCGCAAAAAACGGAGAAAGGCTTCCAAAAAAATCTTTGAAAGAAGTTTTTTTTATTTTTACACTTGTGAGATGTTTCTTTTCTATTCCGATTATTATTGGCCGATGTCGTTCCAATTATAGAAATCCGAAACGAAGCAACTGTTGTTTTTCTTTGTTCACTTTGCATCTCCAGAATTATCATCTGGAGACCGTCACCACAAACGATTCGCAAGCATTTCGACGAATTGACGCCAATACACTCTGTCGTCTGATGAAGTCGATGAGTAGCCACGAATTCGCCGAGAAGTACGTCTTAATCGATTGTCGCTATCCGTACGAGTTCAACGGTGGTCATATAAAGGTGAGTGGTCACCGCCATGTTCAATTCATTCCTCTCTAGAACAACTCCTTTCGTCAAAAGTGAAATTCAGGGCGCCATAAATATTTTCGATACAGCTGACTGCGAAAAGATCTTCTATCCGTCGAATTTTAATCGTCGAGCCGAAATTCAGAGGAGAGTGCCAATCTTCTATTGCGAATACAGTCAGAAACGTGGACCATCGATGTATGTTATTTAAAATTTTTGAAAATCGTATATAAAGGTAAAGCGTCCGGCGTTGATCAGTCTTTTGGGAATGAGCTACGCAATTGACTCCATTCATGGCATCGTAGAGGTGAATGAATCCATATTTGGCCAATATAATGACTTCCCATTACATACTGCCGTAAGAAATCAGTACTGCGATCTCCCAGATAATTCTAGGCCTAATTTTCCGATTTCTGAGTTACGGTGGGCTTGGTGAGTTCTATGCGCATAGTCGACCCGATGACGATGCTTTCATTGCATCTCTAAGCAGTGCGCTCCACCTCTTCTAGAAAATCGTATAAAATGGAATTTATTTGAGTCATGTGGTAAAATTCATAACCTTTAATCTTGACTCATCGTATTTTCTGTAGTGATGCACGCTGCATCGATTATTGGAACATGTAGAGTACTCGCGCAGATGTAAAACAGTTATGCTTAGCCTGAAATACACCCAGGTTTGTTGGTTCGATCATCCAACTGGGGCTAACTATGCCCTCTACTCCTCCGTGGTCGGCTAATTGATGGATAAAAATACTGACCCTGTACATCGGTAGGCCAATAGTTCAGTGGATTGGCTAAATATGCATTCAATCACCTCAATGGTGCTACGAATGGAGTGGAATGCATGGCACATCCTTCGAGAGATTGATCAACGTCGAATGCTTTGTCTTGTCTTCTATCTCTATCAATTGAAGAAATTAAGAATGACTGAAACAAAACCAATAAGTGAGAGATTAAGTCTTTCAGGAGCTTATTACTGAAGTGCACAACTTGTTATATTAGCTTTCCCTTTCAGGGCTCAAATGTTACGTAGTATTGATCGTCAACGAAACGTTGACGTTTATCCGAAAGTGGATTTTCCGGAGATTTACGTTGTCGACAAGGGATATCGCAATTTTTTCGAAATGTTTGCTGATTCTACGGACAAGGTTACTTTTCATTATGAAATACATTGCTTGAAATACCACCTCATCGGTGGAATAAAAGGTTTATTAGCGCATAAAAAGTTGGAATGCTTAAGGGCCGTGGTGGCCTTGGTAGTCCACATATGGCTGAGAACCTTCGTTGGGATGTCGTATATTAGTTTCTGAATGGATTTGCCAATTCATCCGATGATACGTATTGGTTTCAGTGCGTATCATGCAAAAAGGTTAAAAAGGCATAATGAAGGTTTACAACTTTAAACACCGTTGGAACCATTAGAATCTATAGATTTTTACCGACAAACTGCACTGTTTCTTATTCTGCGTTTCCAAGATTGAATTCTAATTTTCTGGGGTCCACAAAAGTATTTTTTCGCTGATTTTAGTTGGTACTCCTATTTCGAACAACTAACTCAACAAACTAGATTTCCTCTAGCACCATATGATGACGTTTCCGAATCTGGTTTCCAATCGTTCAAAAAATTTTTGGTTTAAACAATTTTACAGTTGGATGAGTATATATATATATATATATATATATGTATATATATGCAACGACACCGAAAATCTGTGCCAACCTCGCGTCAGCTTAAGAAAATCAGTTTATAAGATCACATAAATAAATATATATATATATATATATATATATATATATATATATATACGTGGCTATATTTTACATATACACTTATGGGATCGCGAAGGGAAGGAATGGCGCAGTGGTTAGTGATGCCGTCGATCAGGAAGTAATAGCAGTGGTTTGATCCTAGCCTCAGTCCTCTCCTGCAATGCACATGGTAACACCTTTGCCTGGCTATCTTGAAAATTGTAAGGAGAGCTGACGAGGTGCTGGCATCCATACAGTAGATGTGATTACGGGTCATGTAGGAAACATGGCAACGCAAAGAAACCTGTTCTAGTCTATAACGTTCGCAACTCCTTCGCTGCTTTAATCGAAAAATTATCGCCTTTTGTGAAAGAACCAGTCCTATCGCGAATCTGTTGAAATGACTATGCAAGCCGTGAAACTACGAGTAGTAACGACGAGTCGTGCAAAGCTTCTGAGATCCCAGGAAAAATTTTACTTAGCCAGTAAATTGCCAATAGGATGGAGGTTTTTCCGGTGCCCCTACGAATGTTAACCATTGGTGAACACATGCCATTCAAGGATTCAAGCATGTAGCCCTTTTAAAAGATTTATATATTTACTGGTTGTGCAGGATTTTAGTTATTCTGTCAAAGTTTTACAACAATGGTTACAGAAATGAAAGCATCTTTTTTTTGTACGTATTCTTTCATTGATGGGTTGACACGAGGTTGATAAGAAACTTTATTCGGCTAACGTTTCGATGCTTTCACGTTCCTCAGAACAGAATTGATCGGAGCCGATTGTCCACAGTACTTCCACCTTCCCATGTGGATCTTCGTGATCGAATCGGGTCGAATCCAGCCGAGCACTGCTCGAATGAGGGAACTTAACTACACAGCGCTATTTTATAAGCTCTTTTTTCGAATAATTTTGATTTTGTCCATCAGATTGGGTAAAAAAGATCTTTTGCGACTATCTCGTCAACTCGTTTTTGTTAGCTGAAACAACCAAGTTTATTTAGTCTAAATTTCTTCACATTTCGACTTTTATCTCTAGTATGCTGCGAAAAGCACGCACATAGCCCAGCATTAAAGGCACACTTGACACTTGACACTTGAATGACCCTTCCTCACTGGTCTTGCGGGCCTCAGCATAATCTCCATTTTTCGGAGATTTGCTGGTTAAGCCATTGTGTTTCCTGGAATTATGAGGTCAGCCTGGTCAAAGTCTGTCATAGATCTTCACCACCACAGGCAGTCGCACCCCGTGTGGATCAGAGGGAGATTTGCCACCATGCGACTTTGATACCAGGACGGTGATGGATCCTGGTATTGCTTTGCTCTTAGCTAGGCTTCCTGAAGGAAACGCTAGGCTCCTTCTCAGTTTGGGAGACCCTTCCAGGGGATGAATTCCCGCTGTACATCGCAGTCCGACGCCCAGGAACACCTCCCACTCACAATGAGGCGGAAAACAATTGGGAGGGCATTAATGGCACTTAACAATACATCAAAAGTAGATGTTAAATCATGCCCATCATTTTTGTAAGTTGGGCAAATTGGTATAAGGTTTGTCTCCTGAGATAAAGCTAAACAGTAATTTGGTGCATTTATTGGGCCCAAGTGTATTTGTCATTGTATTGCCCAAATATGCATTCAATCATTACTACGACGGTGCGAATACAGTCAGATGCATGATGCATCCTTAAGGATTGACCAACATCGAAACGATTTACCCTTTCTTATGCTGCTTAATTCAGAAAAACGATTAAATGAATTTGAATTACAAAACTGGATGTAAATATGGAAGTTGTTCTTGAGCTGACTGGAAGGCTTTAGTTTAAAATATCATTTCCTTTGAACTCTGACATTTTACACAAAGTCTGTTTGTAGAGCTTTTTGGTAGAGTTTTATAAATTGTTATCTTGCGTTGTTCGGTGATTGTTAAGAAGCAGAAGTGATTTGTTTTAGTATTTGTGCGAACCCTGCAGCTACGTTACAATGGTGGACGGTCGATTCGCTCATGACCTCAAACAGTTCAGTTTTCATAAGAAGAGCTGGGGTAATTCTACGTGTCCAAAGAGCCTATCGTGAGTCTTACTTAAGTCGTGTTATTGATGACTAATCCTGGCCAATTGAAGTACCGAATGTTGCTATGCGATCGGCAAGAGATTGCTCTATGTTGGTGATTCGTCGTACCGTATGATTTCCATCGGATGCTTAATGTTGTTGATTATTTATATCACATTAATGTGATCATGCGAAAGTCCGGTGAGCATGAAATAAAGTGAAATCCGGCTATAAAACGAAATTTAAAAGAGTCATCGTTGAATTTTGGGCCTACATATTGCATCGTTGACAGCATGAACTATTCTGGAAGCAGTTCAATTCTTGTGATTAGGGGTGATAAGCTGTCAGTAGCCGATAGTTTTATGAAGATGGTTTCAAACAGAGCTTTCTAAAAATTGTGTTATCGCAAGCCTTTGGTTTTGACCAGTTCACTCTTTTTTCTTTTTCCTATTATTACGAATCGTAATTTTTTATGTGGAAGATCACTTACACATACACTGCTGCCGTATGTACTAAATTTTAAATCTGTGGGCCCTTAATTCTTTGCTTTATTTATTTTGTTCCTAAGTTATCTAAAATGGTTACTTCTTGCGTTTTTATCCGGGGTTTCAAGTAATTTAAAATTCATTACTCTCAATAACACGGCTGAGAGACAGGCGAAACGAAGGACTCGCATGGTGTGGTGGAGAGCGAGTTAGCTCTCCACCGCAAGCACCAGCGGTCCGGAGTTTTGCAAATATCTCAGCAACATTATGGTTATATCTCACGTAATTCCCTGCTATTAAAAAATAGTTGGCAGTAGATAAAAACTGAGGACATTGTGATTCATTTCTTTGTTGAATATTATGTTAATAACAATACTGTCTTCAGTAGTTAGAAAATTTTCCGCCGTAATCAGTTATCCTTGTGTACAAAATTCCAATATTTGTATAAAATAATAGCATGACACTTACTCTCATTTTCTAGGTCACAGACCCGTTTGGCACTCCGTAAACTTTCTGAGGATTCTCTAGATTCACCGTCAAGTACAGGTGTCATGAAGCCGTCATCACGTCGACCATTGTTCAACGCCACACCAAAAACCCCGGAAACTACGCCACCGACACCCACACGACAGTTGCACTTCTCCTGACATTGCAATAATGCTTTAGACTCAATGAAAGGAAATATTCCGTCTAGGAATATCTTGGTCGAGTTATGAGGACTAATTAGCTAGGAAGATTCTTTTGCATTGTTGATGTTTCTTTACACAAAGCTCTGTGTCTAGTCTGTGATTATCTTCCTGTCGTGTGATTTCTTCGTCTGTGAAGGTCATGTGATGATACCATGGTACCATCGACAGCCGGAGAAAGAGTTATTCACTGAAAAGCAGTAGTTTCATGAGCTTACACTTACTTAGTACTTACCTTACACTTATTACAGCTTACTTATACAGAACTATTGATGAAGAGCAGGAGCCAAAATGCCTCTATGAACGAAGTATGTACAACACTGATATTATTAACGAGTTATTAGAACAATAAAATGTAATCCTTATAGCTGATTAGACTTTATAATCATAATATTAGTGGAGGATACTGAGATCATCACAGTACGAAAGAAGTAGTGTCAAAGACGTAGTACTCGGCATTAATGGTTGGTAATACCGATTTGCTTCACGTTGTCGGTATCCTGACCAGCCTTCGAAGCCAGACGAAGAAATCACACGACAGGAAGATAATCACAGACTAGACACAGAGCTTTGTGTAAAGAAACATCAACAATGCAAAGGAATCTTCCTAGCTAATTAGTCCTCATTTGTACATACTTCGTTCATAGAGGCATTTTGGCTCCTGCTCTTCATCAATAGTTCTGTATAAGTAAGCTGTAATAAGTGTAAGGTAAGTACTAAGTAAGTGTAAGCTCATGAAACTACTGCTTTTCAGTGAATAACTCTTTCTCCGGCTGTCGATGGTACCATGGTATCATCACATGACCTTCGTGGTGCCAATCTCCTAGTTTTCTTGACTTTTTACTTCATATTCATATTAGATATGTATGGCCTTTGGTGTCAAACACTTGGACTTTCACAGTTACAACGATCATGCGGGTACAGTATACCACAGAATACCGTAGGATATTACTCATTCTCGTCGTAAACTAGTTATTTAGCTATTTTAGCAACCCCTGCACAATGTCCTTGTGTGGCTTTTATGTATATGTGTACTTGTGTCGTGTTTCAGTTCATAGGCTTGATTGTATAATATATAGGTGGTTTGTATACGATTATCAATCCGTCGATATCCTTATAGACATTAGCGACAGTGTTTTTCTTCTATGGAATAAAAATTGTCTCCTTCGCTGCCATATCACCGCCCCCTCAATCTCTGTGTGGTCTTCATTAAAGACATGGGTGGAGATTTTGTTTCTTATATTGGTGTATATATGTGCTCCGTTGCTCGAAAGTATATGTTCTCTTATATTGCAGTAAAATTGAGTAGCATATTAACTGAATGAAAAGTAATAAATCTTCGAGCAAAACATGATCATATCCTGAGCTGTTTTTGAGTGATAGAATTGGTCCCGTTGAGAGCCGCTTGTTAAGGAACATACTCTTCATTTGCAAAAAGAAAACGAGCACATGTTGCGCGAAAAAGGTGACTGGAAAAGATGGCAAGTAAGGCAGTTTCTCATCAGAGCGAGGTGGGAAAGTTTTTCTGGCAAGTTGTTCCTTACGGAGGAGCCATTTGTCACGAGATTATGAGTTAGATCGAGAAGCAAGTGTTGAAATGTGTGTGATCCGTATTGAGAAAGTTAGTCGACCTATATAGATTGGTGCGGAGTGGTTAGAATAGCCGTGATGCAGGTCAACCTAGCTAGATGCGACTTTGATCCCATCTGTGGTTCACCAAACTTGCCATTTCTCCATTTTCCATTTACAGGGTCGGGAAATTAGTAGTAGTCTTCACTGGGAGACAAACTCACTACCTTGCAATCCACGTGAAAAAAGGTAACACGACTATCCTAGGATTCCACCAGTGAGGATCGAATCGTGCAATCATTTAGCGACATCCATGATCAAGACGAAAATCAGCAAACAACATTCAAACCCGCAAGCAAAAGGTTCCGAGACTTTGGTGAGTGGTGGATGGAAGGGAACGAAACGAATGCGAGTGATGAGGTCAGCAGAATGTGCGTGATATCGATTCGCGATAAAAAAGTGGACAAATTGAGCTAGTGCTTTCCACCTGGGTAGATTGCCAATAACAAGATCTACTCAGTACCCGCTAACGTTCCAACGATTTCGCCTCCTATAGTGCTGGATACATCAGATTGACACGCAATTCACTCAAACAATTCATTCACTAATCAAACACCTTTACAACCTCAGCAGCTAGAACTTAATGCGTAAATTTCCATTCATATGGATTCTTTTAAGCACACACCGTTGTTCCTTATAAGTGTTCCGAATGTTGATGGAGACCAACCACGTAGAGTCCTGGCTGGATGAGGAATGTGTCTGACTCACAAACCATTCTAAGGCATGGTGAATGGAGAACTTGATGCTGCGTAGACGTTCGATGATACTGTACATTATATGGTTACATAGAAGAGGATTCTTACCTCACTAAATCGTTTTCGATCGGTCAGTGGACTAATGCTGGAATTTGCCGCTGTCACAGAGTTGCTATTGTCCTGGTAGAATCCTTTAGACAAGGCAGCAAATCATTCCGTTTCAAAATGACCGTCAACTGTTTGTTGCTGCAACGAACTGAAAATGACAACCTATTTTGGCTGTTCCCGGTTCCGAAACAAAATCAAGCTTGGCTACCATTCGACATGTTGGCAAGTCTCTCAGTCACTACCGAATCTTCGCCTGAATTCGACCGCCATTGCGAATGACGAGACGAATGAAGAAAGTGGGACCTTCACGACACGCGATAAACTATCTGTGTATCCAAGTAAGCATAATGTAGGCTATGAGACCCAATACGCTAACACATGGTAGCTGCTTCGTAACCGTCTAGGAGACCAACTTAAACCTATGAATGGAGGAATACTAAGACACCCGGTTATGAAGAAGCATAGTTTCCCTATTTGTTGATTTTTGGATGTCGTCGTGTAGTGATATCTTTCACGTCTTTCAGGATATCCAAGCAAAGCATGCTAGTTTTATCCAGCTTTTTTCCTTCCAATATTTTTTTTAAACAACTTACGATTTGAAGGTAGGCCATTGGTGACTATAAATTTCGGAACCTATCAATTACCTTTGTTATTCAGATGTAGAAGAAGCCATCTATCACAGTCTATCTATTACACCATGCTACTCGTAAGTAAAACGATTTGAAAAAAAAAAAGTTTACAGATCATAAAGCACAGTGTTTTTTGCTACGACCTAGCGCCTTACGAAAATTGTTGAAATAAGATTTGGAACCTTACACGTTCTGGTGTTTGAGGTCATACGAGGGAAATCGAGCATCATAAGAAAAGAAAGCAGTTCCTGGGTTCTTCAGACTTTCTCTTTCTGAATGGAAATGGTTCCGCGCAGTGGTTCTTACACTGACTTGCCAAATCGACATACTAATTGCTAGCAGAGTACTTCTTTTTGCTAGCAGTTCATCTGAAAATGGACAAGAGCGTAGTGCTTGGTGATTGATGCACTAGCTCTTGTGAATGATCCAAGGACGAAATCAAGGTGGTCAATGTACCTTCTTTTGTTGACAAGTTAACACGAGGCTGGCACCGAACATTTATTTGGCTGATGTTTTGACGTCTTGAAAATAACAAGTCAATAATTCAAACCGGCCGTCATTTAACCTCGGTATTGATAATCAATACCTTCTTGGATTATCAAGGTGATGTGAGGGTGATAATGATGTGAAGACATCGAGAAGATGAACGACCATGGACATGACTCGGATTATCGGCTCTGAGGTAGACGTAGGCGTGGAGACGTTAGCCGAGTAAATGTTTGGTAATAGCCTCGTGTTAGCTTATCAATGGAGGAAGATGCATTAATCATTGATACCCGGACTAAGTGAAAGTTGGTTTACATTAATCAAAGTGGTCAGTTGAGACAAGGATCTCTGCTGCCAACAATACTCCATAGAGAGTCAGTTTGATCTTTGAACTGCATGAGAATTCGTTGAACAAAACAGAAGCAGTTATCATCTTGCTTCATTTCGGTTCATTACGGTGTAGAGGCTTTTTGTATGAAAACGTACGACCTATGAAATCATGGTATCGTAGCTATACGGCTACCTAACAATCACTCACAGTTTTATTCAGGTATGAGAATGACGAAGAGAGAAGACGTAGATGAACGGTTACCCAATAACCTTTAACATTATCGGCTAAGCCACAGCATTTCTTTAAAAAAGCCAGTAAAGGAGACATAAGTTGTAAAATATTCTGGAAAAGAAACTAACTAAAAGAGATAAAAATATGAAAGAGTAGCTCGCGTACAGCTTAGAAATCAGCCAATGGATTCAGAGGTTGATGAAGTTGTTTTATTAGACTAACGTTTCGACGTCGTCGCCTTCATCAGCGCCGATGATCCGAGTCAATGGCCCACAGTTGCTCATCTTCTCAGCGTTGGTGTCTTCGTCATAGTATCGATATTCGACGACGAAGGCGCCACATCGAGAAGACGAACAGCTGTGGACCGTAGACTCGAATCATCGGCTTTGATGAAGACAAAGACGTCGAAACGTTAGCTGAATAAGCAATTTTATTAGCCTTGTGTATTCTCAACATTTTAAACAAATTGACCATTTTAGCTCCCAGGTTAAATGACGGTGAGTTTGAAAACTATAGTTTTACCAAGGATTCAGAGTTTCGTATCCCTTGTTGACATAATAGTTCTTGCATTCTGTCCTTTACGCATTCATTTAAAATCACCTCTTAACAAGATTTCGTCACGATGAACATGAAATGTTAACACCTAGTAGAAATGATTAATTCACATGTCATCAACGTAGTAATAGAAGGTATGCTGTGGTTCATACTACACCTGAGGACGAAGCACGTCGTAATGTTGCCAGACTTGCTTAAGCAGAGCATCTTTCATTCCATAGAGATAGTTGATTAATTGTAGTTAAGAGCGGGAGTCTGAAAAGGTGACGCCAAGGTTCTAGAGATTTCTCTCTAACG